AGGCATTCTTATTGATAATTCATACTTATTATTGTAGCTGTCAAGCTTAATAAGCTGCAGACAGGAAGATATAATTCCTTTATATAATACAATAAAGCAGACAGAAGAATTAGGTTATGGAAAGACAGAGAGATAGTGAGCATCTAACCAAATAGGATTCAGTTGAAATTTTTCTTTTTTTATCCATTTAATTCCATGGACCATGTTCATGGCAGTTTTGTATCAGGAGAGGATCTTGAGTGGTTTAAGGAGGGATCTGTAGAAGAATTGAATTCTCAGAAAGGATATGACAGGGAAGAAAAAGAGAATCTAACCTTATGATGATGTATGTGGGTACATTTTTTAGGCACAAGATATATCTGGAAAGGAAATGAACAGTTCAACAAATAGAAAAATCATAGAATTTTGAGGATTGATGATCACCTAAGGATTTTATCCAACACTTTTGATTTTAGAGGTGAAGGGTTTGAGTCCCAGAGCAGTTAACAACTTGATTTTGGTCACAGAGCTAGTTATCAACAGAGAAACTACGAGAATGTAGAACTTCTGCACATGTCAGTGCTTTTCCACATTATGTTCCAGGACATAATTCATACAAGTTAATTGTGTATTTAATATTAATTTTAATGCAATAACCCACTCACATTGTGATTTTAATTCAGCATTTTTAAAATCTGTTTTTAGGACATTCAAGGACAAGAGACAGGCAGGAAGGGTGTTTCAGTGGAAATAGCATGGGTTTAGTAGTCAGGATTGGAATTCTGACTTTAATATTTATCAGCTCCATGACATTGGAAGATATTTTAAATCTCTGTGCCAGAATTTCCATAACTTGATAATTGGAAAAATATGTCCTATTATGTTGGGATTAAGAATCCCAATTTAAAGAAAGCGTATAGAGACCTGGGATTGTTGAGTATGCAGACAAAAAGGCTGAGAGTTGTAGGAGACTGTGGTGCTGATATTAGTATTCAAACTGTTGACTAATAGGGTCTCAGAGGAGGATGGATTTCTGTGGTGCATGGTTGAATGTAAAGCCACTTAAGGAGAGAGTGGTGTCTGAAAGAGGCACTGACATACGCTGATCACTTGCCTCTTTCTCGCTGTCATGGATTTGATGCATCAAAAAGTCAGTTATTACACCCTTAAGTATCTTTCTGGGTCAAATTCTACTAAGTGTAGCATTGACTTTGTTGCTTTTCTTTCTTTTTTTTCCCCCTTTCCCACAGCCCTCTCCTCCTCTATCCTTTTTTGAGCAGCAAGTATGCTACCCCTTCGGGATGGTTTTATGATAAAATATAACTATAGGACAATGGATTACGTTGTCTTCTGTGTGTCCCTTTATATATGAACACAGCAGATGGTTCTTCTTACTTTGATATTATCCTTAATAGTTTTACTTACAAAATTGTGCAACAAGATGAAGTACAGTATCTCTTATTTGCTGCCAGTCTTTCTCGGAGAAAGCACATTTGCCCTCTTGTAAAAGAGGGGATATGTTAAGTGCGAGAGAGTAGACAGATTCACAGACACAAACATAGGGTGAAACTAGCAGGTGAGCAGTGTGCAGTGTGCGTGTGTGTGTATGTGTGTGTGATTTTCTAGGTTAGGGATCCGGAAAAACTTGTCCTAGTTAAGGATTCACCAGCTACTATGTTTCTTTAGAAAACTTGCTTTAATATTACATGTACAATTCCTGTGAATTGCCAGATTTATGTAAAGATTGATAGGGAGAAATTCTTCAGTCTTCTATCAGGATAGAACTCTGCTCCAGGGAATGCTTATGCAAATCTTGCGGATTTTCTTACTGGAATATTAGATGGATGAAAAGAAACTAGTAAAGAGTTTGGACCTGGGAAATGCAAAGAATTTTGGGAAGGAGGACTGATTGTAGTTTTTATTCGAATTTGACACAGATGACTTTTCTTCAACAACTTCTCTGAGAAGGATGAAAATCAGGTTAAACGAGGCTATATAAGTGAAAGAGTTTATAAATAGGATTGATTTATGTGAAGGGAAGGCATACACAAACAATAATTACTTTATGTTTAAATGTAAAATAGTCACCATCTTGACTAAAGTGAAGAATCTGGTTTTTTAGGAAGTCTTTCCCAATGCTTGATCAATCTGAGTTGTCAGGTGCCTATGCCAACTTCACAAATAAACCAAGTATATTTCTGCATTTTTCTTTTCCAGTTGGAGAGTGGGCTTTAAATAGTTTATTAAAACACAATATATCCAGCAGGGCTGGATTTGTGGGTATGAGTTTGCGCAACCTTCTTTTCCTAAAATCAGAGCACAAACTATTCATTCTCAGCAGACTACTCTACCTACAGTATTCAGATTGCTTTTGCTAGCTGTAAGGCTTCTTCTTTTTTTTAATGGAGAGTAGCTATGCTTCATTTTAAAAATGTCAATTCTAGTATAAACACAGCACTCTTCATATTGAGAGCTTTTGAACCCTGCTCCTGAACAGAAATACAAAGGAAACCCTTGAAAGCAAAGCAGATGTTGTACTGGCTATATCTAGGCCTTGATTTGTTTATAGTTTAAAAATCCATGGGAAAATAATGATCAAAGGCAGGGTGTAATTCATACAGAAAATTGTAAGACCACTTCATCTGACTAGATTCTGTAAAGAGTCTTTGATTCAAATGGTTCACACAAAGAAAAAATGTCCCATAGGTTCAGAGTTCTTTCTGGCAATAAACTTCCAGTGTAAACAGGAAGGCTCTTGGGCCTCTTACAAATTTTAGAAACAAATGATACTCATTGCCTTGCACTCAATAATTTTGACTTTGAGACAAGAGTTGGAATGGTTAGTAAAAAGTTCCAATTCTAAGTTCAATATGAAGTTTATTTGCCATTACCATAATATTTATTTGTGTGCGCAGCAGTTTATTGAAAGAATGTGAAGGACACATGCTATTTAGTCTATTTAATACTAACTAAAATTCTGTAATTCTCAAGAACTTGACTGTTATATAATCAGTACCAAAGAAGAGAACTAGGAACTCCAATCCTTTATGCTGATTGATACTGCGCAGCAGAAATATTAAACAACTACCCCAAAGTTAGAATAATGTAATTTTCATTGTAATTTAGAAAAAGGGGCTAGTGAAACTTTTTAGCAAAATTGATGATTTTTTATGATTAAAAGTGTAATTTGAGTCTAATTTTCAATGGACACAAATGCATATAGAATTAATTGAAGTAATGGGGAAATCAATAGTAGATGCACCATACAGTTTAAATAATAATTGTAACAATTATTTTAAAAGAAACTTCCTCAGCAGGATGAGAAAGAATATATATGTGAATATATATGTGAGTATATATATTCTTTCTTATATGTATATGTATATACATATATACACACACATATATATATATATAATTTGAAGGGGGAGTGTCTGAGTGATAGTACACACTTTTCTATCTTTAAAGCCTATTCAAGATCTGGGAAAAAGGTATGCCTCTGAACCAGTTTGAGTGGATTTTTCCAAATGAAACCTCAAATAGCATTTACATTTAAGCCCTCACAAACACTTGGGAAGATTTGGAGTTAAAAGCAAATTGTGGTGGGGGTTCAGCACAGGTTTTGTGGTTTTGTTTTGTTTTGCTTTTTAAATAAACACAGTCCACACAAACCCGTCTGCCTACACCTGGAAGGACCAGTTCTTTAACAAAAAAACGCTTTGACTTCGGTTTCCCTGGGAAACCAAAGCCTGAGCTCCTGAACTTTTCTCTCCGCGGATTCGGGGGAGCTAGGGAGGGTGCTCATCCACTTTATTGCAGGGAGAAGTACAGCCTGGGACCCCTCTTTTGGGATACTGTCATTTGCCCCTTCTACCATCCCTTACTCTATTCTCAGAACCAGTATGAGAGTTTTCTGGGGCTAAGGCAAGGGGCAGTGGGCTCAGGCGCTGGAAGGACTGGTTTGCAAAGAGATAAGCTTTGGAATGAAACCGCACAGCTGAAAACTCGCGGCAAGAGATGATCGCGCTGTGGCGAGTCAGTTTGAGAAGCCTTCATCCCTACTCCTCTTAGCTTTCTGAGCGGCATTTGCAGTCAGGTGCAAACAGATCGCCTATTTGGCGCAAAGAGCCCTAAGGATGAGGGACGTGGGATCATTCCCCGGTTTCCCACCGGCCAGATACTAGGTAGTTTGAGGAGAAACTGTTTTCCAGTTCTCAAGGCCTGCAAACGCGGCTGTAGGTGGCATGCGGAGCTGTCCAGCACTAGTGAGGTGTCGGCGGAGCCGGGAGCCCCGCGCACCCCGCTGGGCTGAGACTCAGCAACAGGGCTCTCTTGCCAGAGCAGACGCTGTTCTCACTGCCGCCCCGTTCTGGGCTCGCTCCGCGCCCACACGGCCTCGCACGAGGCGGGGAACGCAAGTCCCCAGGAGCTGCTCCAGCAGGATGGGCGCCAACATGTTGCCCCTGTCCTTCCCTTCCCCTGTAAGCGTCTCTTCTGGAATAGGCTGGCTGGACGCTTAGCATTTTCGTTTTGCTTCGGAACTTCCTAAATAAACTCGGAGAAAGGACATGGACCCTAACCCCCACTTCACACTGTCAGGCTTCCCCAAGGTGGCTCCAGGGGGAGGCCTCTCGCCCCCCAGTCCCGAGTCCTTCTCCCCACCAGCGCCTCCGGGGCCCATCTGCTCCCGAGGGCTGAGAATAAGGCGTTTGGGGTTGGGGCCCCTCAGTCCGATCCGAGCTCTTGTGCGCACCTTCTCGGGGCAGGGAGGGCGCGCAGAGGACAGCAACGAAGTGTCCTCGTTGCTCCTGAAACGTGGCGACAGGCGAGGCAGAGACTCCCAATGAGTATGAGGGCGACACGTGATACCCGCGGAGGGAGAGCATGGGCGGGGGGATAAAGGGAGAAGGAGGGAGGCGGGCAGCAAGTGGAGAGAGGCGGGAGGAGAGGGGCGGGAGCAGAGAGGGAAAGGGGGCGAGATAGGCGCGCAGGCGGCAGAAGCCTCTGCTTCCCCTTCTGCTTGGGCCGTAGCCCTCCCCGCCCCGCCGACCGCGGTCACACACTCGGAGCCTCCCCGTGAGCGGGAGCGCGGCGCACGGCGATGCGCCGAGGCTGGCGCTGAGGCGGCGCCGCGCGAGCAGCAGCAGAGGCGGCGGCGGCCCCCAGCCCAGCCCGGCGCCGCCGCCGAGCCCGGGCCCCAAGGTGTGGCGGCGCCCCAAGTTCCCGCCATGAGCAGCCGGCTCGGGGGGCTCCGCGGCCCCGGGGACTCCCGCCCCGCCGAGGGCGACCGCAGCGCCCCGCGGCCCCGACGCGCTTAACGCTGCGGCTCGCCGGTCCCACCACCGCCGCCTCCGCCGCCGCTCGCGTCCTCGCCGCCACCGCCTCGGCCGCTGCAGCGCCGCCGGCAGCATGTCTCGAAGGAAGATTTCGTCCGAGTCCTTCAGCTCCCTGGGCTCCGACTACCTGGAGACCAGCCCGGAGGAGGAGGGGGAGTGCCCCCTGTCTAGGCTCTGCTGGAATGGCAGCCGGAGCCCGCCCGGGCCGCCGGAGCCCAGCGCGGCCGCCGCTGCCGCTGCCGCCGCCGCCGCCGCCCCAGCCCCGGCTGCTTCTGCCGCCGCCGCCGCCGCCACGGCCGGGGCCAGGAGGGTGCAGCGCCGGAGGCGGGTCAACCTGGACTCGCTGGGCGAGAGCATCAGCCGCCTGACGGCGCCCTCGGTGAGCGGGGGGCGGAAGGGGGGACCGCCTTCAGGGGAGAGGACGCGGATCGGTAAAGTTGGCGCTGGGCGAGCCGGGGCGCGAGCTCAGAGCCCGACCGCTGGGGGGCGGCCCGGCCTCACCCTGCCCGGCCTAGGGTTCCAGTGGCTCCGGGCGACAGAGGATGCCCTAGGCTAGGGCGGAAGAGGGGACTAGAGCACCGGGAAGGAGTAAGATTCCACTCCGTTGGGGTCTCCTGATAAGGGGGCCAGTCTGCCCACCTCTAGCCTTGAACCCTACTTCACCACTGTTCCCCCTGGACAGCCCCAGTGCTGCTTCACACCCACCTGTTTTCTTTCCCCTAAACTTTCCCAGGCACTGTGTTCTGCAGTTCGGCTTCCCTATCTTTCATCCTGTTCTCTAGCATCCCAAAGGAGCCCCAACCCCTTCCAGGAAACCCTTCCTCTCCTTATTTCCCACACTCTCTTGGTCTTCGCGTGACCTTCTCTGACATCGTTGAATTCCACAGGCTATCTGCAGTCTATGTTGCATCCTTTTTCTCAGATCTTCAGATACTTTTTGCCAGATACTTTTCTGAGTTGCCTTCTGTTGAAGAAATCTCTAATCTCGAGTTTTCCTCACCCCGTAGCTTTTTTTTTTTTTTTTTTTTTTCCCTTATCCACTAGGCATTTATTCTTCTCCGGGTAAACCTGGTGTCTGGTTTTCTTTTTTAAAAAATTTAATTTAATTTAATTTTAAGTCCCGGGATACATTTGCAGGATGTGCAGATTTGTTACATAGGTGCCAAACGTGTGCCATGGTGGTTTGCCGCACCTACCAACTCATCACCTAGGTATTTAAGCTCCGCATGCATCAGCTATTTAAACCGCTCTGTACTTCTTGCACCTGTACCTCATCCTTTACTCTCTTTTCAATGGATTCTTTAGTGCTTTCTCTCTTACATTAGCTATTTAAACCGCTCTGTACTTCTTGCACCTGTACCTCATTCTTTACTCTCGTCAATGGATTCTCTCGTGCTTTCTCTCTCATTTTTTGATGGCTTCTTTATATTAGGCCCTTCCTAAATATTTGTGAAATGAACAAATGCCTCTCCAAACTTGTGCTCATCTTGGGATGTCTGTATCAGCAGTTTCAGGTGTTCACCAAACTCCCCCTGGTTGTAGGCATCCTTCCAGAGTACTCCTGTCTCATTCCTGCCCAGGCATTTCAACTACCCTTGGCTTTTACCTCTTGCAGGAATGCCAGACCTCTGGTACAGTCTTACCCTGTCTGGGAGAGCTCTGTTTTGAAGGAATCCACTCTATTGCGACAGAATTTGAAAAAGATTCAGCGTCAAACCTCCATCCATCTTTTATCCTCACCCTGACCTTGCATACAAGAGCTTTAACTACTCCTGACAGCACTTTTACCTACCCACCCCTAGGATTTTTACTTTTTTTAAAGTTTCCAAAATGAATCTGAACATTGATCTTGTTTGATTACTGTTGAGTCTCTCTCTTTTGAGATTACTACTGCACATGATGGTAGGAGGGACCTAAGAAGGAGTGGGACTCTGAGGGGACTGAGTACTGGTACTAGGCAGTTCTACAAATATTGTTGTGGCACTTCCATTAATGGAGAATGATTTTTTTCTTTTACAAGACCTGATTGAAGATGTATAAGTCACTTATTATTTATTTTGAACTAATTTAATTCTTAAGAACACGTATTGAGAAACAGTCATCTTCCTATTCTTGTGTATTTTCCTATTTGATATATCTTTCTGTCACTTTCTTTCATCGATAACCTAGAAAACAATCCTCAGAATAGATTGGCTGTTGTTTGCTGTTCTTCCCTGCCAATATTTCCCAGGCAGCGTAATTTTATGAACTATTTGATGTTGCAAATTGTTGAAAATATTTCTTTACAACGGGAGTCCAGTGACGCCGAGCATCTGTAGGCTTATGTTAGTACCTAAAGCAACATTTGTGCAATAAAATAGTTATTTAGTACAACAGATTCTTATTTAATTAAATGAGTTTGCTAAAGATAATGATTAGTTTGGGGAGAATTGTTGATATAACCTTGGAGGGTTTTTTTTTTTTATTTTTTGGCCTAAGAGTGAGAATTTACAAATTTCTAAAAAGTAATGTCAATGCCTCTGATAATGCTAATTTAAAGTAAGACCATTTTCAACGACTTACATGAGGAGTAGATAAAAGAAACTGAGAACTGCAGTATTTTCTGCCAGAATAAGAGGAAGGAAATAATCTCTGATGGTTACTTTTATAAGTTAAATTTGAATGACTGGCTTTTTGCTGGATGAAAAGAATGTATCCAGAGAATGGTTTTCAGCATAAGCAATTTGGAAATAATTGTGAGGATCAAATAAATGCAACAGCTACATATACTTTCCATGCCACAGTTCTTTTCTATTGTGAAAAGGGTCTGTCAGGTGGATGCTGAGAACATACAGGTGAATATAGTGTAAACATTTTCAACATCATAACACACGTAGAGAAAAATTCTCCTTGGTTAACCATATCACCAATAGACTTGGTGAGACAAATAAAAGAGAGAGATTATATTTCAAAACAGTGACTTATTTCTGTGTGGTCCTTACCTTTTTTTCTTTTATTTGGCAAGTTAGAATACTAGCTCAAAAAGTTCCAGTAGATTCATTTTTTGACATTGTCAGGATTTGAAACTTCTTTGAATACTCTTCAGGAGATGGATTGTGTCCTCTCTATTCTCTCATGAAAGCTGGGCATCTTTGAAACTTCTTTGAATACTCTTCAGGAGATGGATTGTGTCCTCTCTATTCTCTCATGAAAGCTGGGCATCTTTTTTTTTTTTTTGTGAACCGCTGAGAGTAGCCATTACCAGAGCATTTTTTTAGATGGGAATTTCTCTAGTTGTTTTGAATGTTGTAAGCTTTCTTGCATGCCATTACGATATACTTCAGGAGAAACTGTACTTGCCATGGAAGTGCCTATTTTGTCAGTTGTCTCACCATGGAATGTCTTAGTCACTTGGGATTTCTTCTTTATTGAGAATGATTTGCAAATAGAAAAATGAAAATTTATTTATTAAACTAGTTATTTGACCCATGGGATATCCAAACTCAGGTTTTTGACACTTAATAGTCACTTTAAGATGCATTAATGTTGAGTATAAAGGCTATAATAATTTCTAATACTATTTAATAAAAGTAAGTTGCATTGGTGAAATTGAAAAAAATTCCAGAATTCAGGAGACCTGATTCTGATTTTGCCTTGACAATGAGAAACTTACATATCTCTGGACACATTACTTTAAATGTCTGGGATTTCCCAGGCTTTGGACAAACTGTCATGTTGGCATATGAAAGGAAAACATGGGCCAGGTGCAGTGGCTTATGCGTGTAATCCCAGCACTTTGGGAGGTCGAGGCGGGCAGATCCACTAGGTCAAGAGATCGAGACCGTCCTGGCCAACATGGTGAAACCCCGTCTCTACTAAAAATATAAAAATTAGCTGGGCATGGTGGCGCGCACCTATAGTGCCAGCTATTCAGGAGGCTGAGGCAGGAGAATTGCTTGAACCTGTGAGGCAGAGGTTGCAGTGAGCCAAGATCGCACCACTGCATTCCAGCCTGGCGACAGAGTGAGACTCCGTCTCAAAAGAAAAAAAAAAAAAAAGAAAACATGGCATATAAGTTTTAAAACTTTTGAGGAAAGTAGTTTACTTTTTAAGATGGGGCACCAAAATACTATTTAATCCACCCAATTATTTAAAAATATTTTAGGATCTATGTGGCAGATATTGTGCAGAGCATTTGGAAAGACAAATGCTGAACAAGACATAACTAGTCTTTGACTTCATGGAACTTCTTTAATCATTATCTTTATTTTAATGAAACTATATAAAGGGAAACATAAGAACTCCAATTGGCGAAATCTAGGGGAAGTTTTATTTCTCATCCACTTTGGGTAGTTTTGTTCATTGTGAATCTCTAGGGTGCAGCCATAATAATAAAAATAACCCTCCATTTAGCAAGGCATGATGATGCACGCCTGTAATCTCAGCTGCTTGGGAGGCTGAGGCTCGAGAATCGCTTGAACCCAGGAGGTGGAAGTTGCAGTGAGCTGAGCTCACACCACTGCACTCCAGACCTTGGGTGACAGCGAGACTGTCTCCAAAACAAAACAAACAAAAAACAAACAAAAAACCCTTAAGACCTTAAGACCTGATTAAAGATGTATAAATCATTTATTACATTCTTTATTTTAAAATAATTTAATACTTGGGAATACATATTAAGCAACAGCTGGGGATTTCACATCAAGGGTGAACTTGGCAACTCATTTATTTGGATTTTATTCTTAAATGAGAGTTGCTTAGTTACCCTATCACTGTGACATCAATTTTGGGTTTGCTGGTGTCAGCCTGTCAGTGAAGATACGCCACTAGAGTCATATAAGGGCAAAGCTTCTCTAGGTTTCTTGACAGAGAACATTGCAAGTGGCTTTGAAGACCTCAGAAGCTTTAGAGAACAGAATGTCAGGAAAAAAAAGTAACAGAATTGGAGGAGTGGCAAATAAGGAGAGGAGAGCTACTGACCTGTGGAGTTGTTTAAGAAACAGAGACCAGTGAAGAGGAAAAAATGGAGGGGGAAGCTTAGATTCAAGTGACAAGACTGCATAAATTATTATTTTGAGGAAGGAAATTATCTTAATACATGTCGAGGAAAGAATGAAAAGATATAAAATACATATTTAGCTTCTGTTGATATTAAATAAAATGAGCTCTCTGACATGTATAAACCCCGAAAAGAAAAACCTTAGAAAGTATGAGTGGCCGGGCGCGGTGGCTCAGGCCTGTAATCCCAGCACTTTGGGAGGCCGAGACGGGCGGATCACGAGGTCAGGAGATCGAGACCATCCTGGCTAACCCGGTGAAACCCCGTCTCTACTAAAAAATACGAAAAACTAGCCGGGCGAGGTGGCGGGCGCCTGTAGTCCCAGCTACTCGGGAGGCTGA